TTCCATGAAAATATACCGGAACTATTTTAGTTTTTGAAAATACATTTTTTTTTTTTTAATTATTCCATGATTACTAATTGTAAATTAGATATTTTTATAACTTTTACATTTTGTTTACTTTGTTAATTTATTGGAATTTTTTTTCCCTGCAATCAATTGGGTTGGAAAAACCAGTTAGCCCCCGGTTAAAATTTGTCACCATGGTAAAGAATCCAAAGCCCATTGGATTCCTATGCTTTTTTTGGGGGGGGGGGGGGGGGGGGGGAGAGAAAAAGCAAAGCCCTTTATATTAGAATTTTCTTTCATCTCTATTACCCTTATTCCAAACATCTTTGGATTAGGTGTTAAGTTAAGAAGCCCTAAAGACTACGTGTTTCTTTTTAAACCTTTAGCTGCCAAATTAATTATTATCTTCATTTGATTTCATTAACAATTTCATAAACTTGACCCAATAAATAACAGTTTCAAATCTCAAAGTAGAAGGAACCAGTTGTTGATTTGAACCCAAAAAAAAAAAAAAAAAAATGACAATAATTACAAATCAAGAATTTCACTTTTCAACTTTACACTGTTTTTTTTTTTTTTTGAAAAAATATTAGTAAATAAATTAAACGAAAAATATATTTCAACAAAGAAAAAATAGGAATTCAAAATAACAACCTAGTATTTTGTGAAGAAAAATAGTCAATAATATAAATTAGTTAGTAGGATAAATAAATAATTTTTTTCAAGTTTTCAAATCTTTTTGTTTTCATTCATTTTCTGTCCATTTTTTTTTTTTCATTTATGGGGAAAATAATTAAAATTCAGGTTGTAAAATTATATTATTATTATTTTTTTAACACAAGGGGTAGATTTATTATTTATATTAAAATAATATTCAATTAACTGATTAACTTTTACTTTTTATTAAATTATTAGTAAAAATATAATATTATTTTATACAAAATAATTACCCTTCTCTGACCCCCCAGCCTCCCAAGTCTCTAAGTTAAGCTTTCAGGTCAAAATTCAAGGAAGCAAGACAGAGAATCATCACCTCAAATTTTCGCTTTTTTTCATTTTCCCAACATCATCTCTTATTTCAAAATGATAGCGACCAATTTCCAGATATCTAAATCCATATAATGATCATAATGGTTGTTGAACGGATCGGTTCCCCCCAATCATACGCCGCCACGCTCCTATGATTCCTCGTTTGCTGATGTCTGAGCCGTGGGGTCCACTGTAAGCGGTGTTTGGCTACTAGCATTACCAAACTCCTGAACTGAATCAATCGCCTTTAAAGTTAATCTGTGTAATAGCCTACCCTCCCGGCAGAGTCAAGTAGAAGAGGGAAATGGGTCTGCTAACCAATAGAGTAGAAAGAGATGATGTCAGGCCAGGGGATCATATCTATACTTACAGGGCTGTTTTTACCTACTCTCACCACGGTATCTTAATTTTACTCTCTCTTTTTCGTTCCTCGTGCATGCTGCGACGACCTGTGTTCTTCTTTTGATGAATATGTAGTGATTGTCTTGGACTCATCGTGATTCTGCATTGTGGTTTTTTCATTTGGTTCTTCTTCCTGGGTGTTTTCTTTTTCTCAGCCATTTATTTGTTCCAGTGTGCTTCCTGCGTTATTCACCTCGATTTTACCTTTTTCTTTTTATGTATTAACTCCTGTCATCTGCGATTGCCATTTTTAAGTTGTAATTATGTTTTGTAGTTTTCAATTGTGCGTTCAGTTTCTATTGGTGTCAATGTGAATTTGTGTTTTGTGATGTTAATGGTAAACCAATTATCTGTTAATCGTAGTGACAATTTCATTCGGAAGACCCCTTTAGCTTTACCCCAAATATTCTCCAACTCCGGTGATAATTGATTTATTGAATTTGACTTTTGGAGATGTGAGATTCGCGTGTTTCATTGGTTGACTTTTTAGTAAAAAATTTCTTTGCCCGCAAGTTACTACTGCTAGATGGATTTACTGGTGACTTGCTCCTAATACTCTGTTTGGCCGCCAAGATGGAAATACAACACGAGATGTTCATTGCTTTGAACTTGAGGAATGATAATCCTTTTCTCATATGCGCCTAATACAATTGGTTATCTCGGTTAATTATTTATTATTTCTAACATATGAAGAAAATATGTATTCAATAATGATTTTCCCTTTTTCTTTTTAGTTCTTTTTAGTTCAATTCTTGATTAATTTCTCTTTTATTCTTTTAAAACATCCTTTTTATGTAGAGGTGGATTATAAATTTCATATTTTAATTGATTTTAGGTTTATTTATTAGAACTAGAAATCTTTTCTCATGGGATTCAATTCATGTAATGATGAAGTTGGTTAAAACATGAAAGTTATTTTCCAGTTCTACATATAATGATAGTATGATATAATTAAGCAAAAATTGACATGACAGTAGATCATGCGTTAAATCCTAAATTGCTATTTTTTTCCCTCACTAAACAACCACAGGGCTGGTAGCTCATGTGGTAGGCTCTATTCTTCCCATAGTTAAGGTCATGAGTTTGAAGTCCTTTTTCACTATTAGTCAATGCTTCTAGTTGTTGTCAACAATGGACTTTTCTGCTTACATATCGATGGTGCTGTTGTGATGAGTTTTGCCATTTGCACATTCATCTTATGATGACACTCAAAGGGATTGACTAGATCTAGTTGCACTTTCCCCCCTTTTTAGTTAGTGTAAGTTAAAAGATCCCTTACTTTTTAAAAAAAAGATAATTACGCATACTGTTAAAAGATCCTTTACCAATCAAGCAGTGATCATGAATAATCCAGGTTATTCGGTTAGATGTTCCCTGGCCCAACTTTGATGCAATGAGGGGGTAAAGACCTTCTGTAATCGGGTCAAATCCTCTCTTCTTGCTGAAGGGTATGCCCTAATTCCTACCTTATCACCTAAACCTGAAAGAAAAATGCAGTAGTCTTGAGCTTTTTTCATTTGGCTCAAGAGAGAAGGAATCTTGTATTTTACCAAGCTTATGATTAAATTAGCAGTACATTATTAGAGTAAAATAATAATAAAAGCCATCATTCTGGAGATGTTTTGTTCGATGTATTTTTTTAAGTTTGGAGAGGATGGAATACTCTAAAGAGTCAATATGGTTCCTTGATTATCCTATGATTAGTGGGGGGCATTGACAAAGAAGAGTTAATGATCAGGTAGCATCATCATACGCAGCAACAACCGTTCAGTGGGCTATCTATTTATCCTCTTCGTAGCTCCTTTAAATTTATATTGACATTCGTTTGTGATCTTTTCTGCCCTATTTATATTTCTGAAAGAAACCCAGCCCTTCAAAACTTCTCAAGGGCAATAGGAATTTCACATCTCAATATGTTGTATTGGTTGCTTTTGAATGCATATCTTTTGATTTGTTGGGCATATTGTAGCCTATTTCCATGGTAATAACGGAAATAAGTTTAAATTATTTATTATTTTCTCCATACAGATGCATTTTGTGCTTCTCCTCATACATGCTTCTATTAATGGAATTCTTATTCTGTAGGGATCTATAAGCTGTATGTTGGTTTCTATCTATAGATTGATTCCCGGGTTTTGCAGAACTTCAGTTTTCAAGAAACACTAAGTTTCTTGATAAATTTAATTGGTGATTTGTCAGTCTGTTAACACCATGGTAGTTGTTAGTTTTCTACCTCATCTACTATTCGAATGCTCCTTGGACTATTAAAGTTTGGTGTTGCATCTCTGTCATATGACATGAACTAGTGTGGCTATGGGATCAATATCCAAGTCTTGCTAGACATGTTAAACTGCAAAGACTCTTAGGGTAAAAGTTCAAATAAAACATGAAGATCAAGACTTCTGGTTCATAAATATCTATGCCTTTTTCTTTGTATACGAAATATTTAATCAATTATGTATCAGTATCAACCTTTTTTTTCTTGACTTTTACTATAAATTTGGAATTGCTATCTTTTCTACTGCTGAAGTGATAAATTAGTTAGTAGTTAGTGTAAGAGTGTAAAGTCCAAACATCCATTTTCCCTGCTTTTTGTATAAACTCTTTCACCTTTTGACTGTGACTCTTTGGGTTACTATTTTGTTGCCTTGCCAGCCTGTAAGGTAAAGAAATTGTGAATGTTGTACAAGGTTATACCATGTCTCTTAACATTCAATGTGCTTGAATAGTGATATGATATCGATGTGGCATTTCATGCACTTTTTGACAGTTACTTTTTATTTTTTGAATTAAACTCCAACTATGGTGAATTTTGAAAAACGCAGGGATTTTTGTTGGGGGTAGCAAGGTGGTTCATTTCAGACCTGAACAAAACTTGAATTCCAGCACCGAGGCATCTCTGGACTTGTATGATTCAGCATCTAGCCTCTCATCTTCCTGTCCAATCTTTCCTGATTGTGGATTCAGGCAACCCAACAGTGGGGTAGTGCTCTCATGCCTGGATTGCTTCCTTAGAAACGGATCCATTTACTGCTTTGAATATGGTGCAAGTCCATCAGTTTTTCTTGCCAAAGTACGTGGAGGCACATGCACCACTGCACCATCTGACTCACCAGATGCGGTTATCCACCGCGCAATGTATCTTCTCCAAAATGGGTTTGGGAATTATGATATCTTTCAAAACAACTGTGAGGATTTTGCACTCTACTGCAAAACAGGTTTACTGATAATGGAGAAGCTAGGGGTTGGAAGAAGTGGTCAAGCGTCTTCTGTAGTTGGGGCCCCATTAGCTGCCATTCTTTCTTCTCCTCTGAAGCTGCTGATTCCAAGCCCTGTTGGTGTTGCAACAGTTACAGCCGGGATGTACTGTATGAGCAGGTATGCAACAGACATCGGTGTTCGGTCTGATGTGATCAAGGTGGCAGTTGAGGAGTTGGCTGTGAACTTGGGGTGGGGAGAACAGGAAGTAGCTGAGGAAGATGAAGCATCTAACAGACAGAGTGCATATTGATTCCTCTTGCCTATAGAATCTTCATATGCGTGAAAAAGGCAGTCACCAGAAATAATTATCTGTTGAAATGCATGAATGAGTTTAGGTTTGCTTGATCTCTCCTTCCCGGTCAAGCAGGCACTTGGTGTTTTTACAGTGGTTTGGTTGTCTAATTGTGTATGTGGAAAGTTCAATTATCAACTATAGAAGTTACAGGTATATATGACTCCTGTTTCATATGGTGTTACCAACTCTTGAAAGTAAATTTAAGGTCATTAGTCGCTTGAGAATGCTGGGACGATTTCCAAATATAAGCTGTTAGTTGCCTAAACTTAAAGGCTGAAGGAAACGAGGACATGGTGGCATTCAAATCCATGCCATGTTCAGTCAGCAACATAATGAGTCATGACCTATATTCCGTTTCTTTGCTTGCACCTTGGTCTGATATTATCCATGTCTAGAATACGAAAATTTATTGGCAAAACGAGAAAGTTATAAACCAAACAATTGGTGCTACGGATGGATGTTATGCAACAGTACAAAACCAGACTCTTAAATCAACTTCGCTCATATTTTTAGAGCTGCAATTAATAACTTTTTATTTTCACTTATTAAGAAAAGTGTTAAGAAAATTTTGACTTTAATTGAATATGCAATTGACTTAAAATCATACTACATTTTTTATTAAAACTTTTAGAATATTTGTATTGTATTTTCATTTTATTGCACCAAATTAAAATTAGAACTGAACTTAATTTTTTATGTCTTTTTTAATAAATACTGAATGATTGATTATATCATGTATAGAAAATTGGGAGAACAATAATAGTATTTATAATTTACACCAAAGAAACTGGTCATTAGGTATGTTACCCTGTGGGATTTGTTTTATGGAGCCAAATAAATTAGTCTCTGTTCTAAATCTACATTATTTCACTAATAGAATTTTAGTTATAGTTTTCTCTCTCTGCACATGACTAACTTTATATATATTTACGTGAAAACTCGAGGTACAGGAGAGCTTATTATTATATACTCTTTGGCCTAACAAATGTTGATTATGGAGAAGTCAGACTCGGTTTTCTTGAACAGGTCTGTTAGTGCAGAGTTCATTTTGTTTCTGCTTCTTGTTAGATGCAGGCCTGAATTCTGCAAGAGTCGCCAGTTCATCAATCATACTGGCAACCCCTTGGATTCTTGATGCGTTTTCAAGCAACAGAGACGCCATAGTAGTCAGAGGAAGAATCTCCATGAGAGGTGGAACATTGATAATTTTTATCACAGCTTCTACTTTGGTTTCTTGAGAATCAGTTTCTGGTGTTGTCGTCAATGAGTTTGCATTAAGATGGTTCGGGATAGACTTCAATGTATCTTGGAGTTCTTGTACGGCAAAGTTCATCTCTGAAACAAAGAAATCTATCTTTGATGGTTTTCTCATTGTCTTCAATGTAATTGCCAGTTCTTTTAGGATACTTGAAGAAACGGAGGTCAGATTCATGCAGGCCCTCTTCATAAGCTTCTTTAGGTGTTCAGGCGCCTGAAAACATCGAGAAATGAGATATATATATATATATATATATATGCATGTATATCTACTCTTTATTGTTAAAAGTAAAAACATACCTGAATTTCTGAATTGATACAGCTGTTGAGAGTTTCAATGCAGTAAGCGCAGCTGCGCATTGAAGCCCCAACCTTGAGGTATTGTTTCCATGGATGTCGAAAGTTGAAGCGCCCATGTGCTGGTTCCCATCTCGCAAAATTGGCCTGTAAAACAATAAAATACAGATAAATATTTTAATCAATCCATCGTGCGATAATAATAATGATAATAATTGATGATCCATCCTGCAATAATAATAATGATAATAATTGGACTGTAAACCAATCAAGTACAGATAAATATTTTTGTTCATCCATCCTGCAATAATAATAATGATAATAATTGATGATCTTCTTGGTATAGCTAGCTTATGTTATATAAGTAGGAAGGTAGAAACGTACCATAGATTCTTCTGTTGCCTTTGAGTTAAGAACACATTTGTATCCTTGCATTTTCTTGCTGGCGTCTTCTCCATTGACTGTCGAACTTTCGTTGTCTCTGAAATACTCAGCCATACAACCTGCAATTCAATGACAGATCAGAAAGTGCAGTATGCATATGTGGGGTTACTCTTCAAGTGTTATATGTATAAACAGCTAGATAGAAATATGAGTTTTATATGGTTATACGTACCGTCCAAGGAATCAGCAAGCTTGCCCAGGTTACGTTGGATGAGAAGATGAAGCTCCTCACCTGCCCAAATGGGACAGAACAGCATGCTTATAAAAATACAGATAGATGCCCCAATAGCTATTGTGGATACTCTTTGGTGAGCAAGAGCTAGTAGTTTCTCTACCCGGTAGCCTGAAACAGAGACTAAGCTGAACGTAAGAATGAAGATCATGGCACCATAATCGAACCGAGCTTTTACTGATGGCACAAACCGAGAGAAAGTTGCTGCTGAAGCTACAAACCAAAAATTTTAGATTTAAATTAAAGTTTACTAACTTAAAAAAGTTCAATAAATTATTTAGATTCTAATGCAAATACATACCAAAGAAAAAAACGAAAGCCCCAAGAACTACGGGTTCTAATTGATCTCCGGATTGATTTGCAACCCAATTAACACCAACACCTAGTGATCCAGCTAGAAATGTTCCTGTTGCTCTATTTATACATTTACAGAGTGTTGCTCCTGCAATGAAATAAAATCTCAAATGGGTTATTACTTAGGATCAAAACCACGTCGTTTTACTCTTCATTTAACACATTAAAACTAAAAATAGATTCAGACAAAGATCTTGAGAATCGAGTAATTACCGACAGTGGATTCAAAAACTACCACAACGGTCATTACTGCCCACATGGCATTTCCACCAACGCCTTCATAAAGAGGTCTCATATAGTAAAGAAGAGAGACAATGGAAAGTGCCAGCCCGACTTTGACACCATGAATAACCTTCTTGGGCTCAGCAACTGCTATGCTCCAAGCCTTCTCCAAGAATCTCCATATCTTCAGAATCAATTCTCTGAAAATAACACATTTTAAACGCAACCAAAGTCTGCGAACTGGTCCAGATTCCGGCTCTAAACTCTCAGTTCTTCCGTCACTTACGTTTATCCTCCATTCTAGCTTTCCCTCAGCCATCGCCATTTCGATCCAGCTGATGGATGGTTTCCGCTAATTAGCCTGGGAAATATATGCTTATCCAGACTATATGATCTATGTTTAATGTGCTCTCCAGATTAGAGATTAAGGATAGTTGGTTGAAAGTTTACGGTCACTTGTCACATATATATATATATATATATAGATAGATAGATATACTCGTGTTTGGCCTCCGGTTACTCCTGTTAATTAATCCTAATAGTACGAAAAGATAGGAGAATTATTTTTGGGTAGTGGATTAAAGTTAAAAGAAATATTTAAGATGATCTAAGAGATAACATGGCCTAAAAAATTAGTGTTAAACTTTATGCTAATGTCATTGGCATTAAGGGTTCAGATAATATATATATTCATAACCCCAATCGAGGTGCTGTACTATTGCCCTTGTAGACAAGTGGGTAATTTCTATTAAGTAAACCAGGCGTCTTTATCTCATTTCTCTCCAGCATTTTTATGAATATTCAAAGTTGATGGAAGCAGCACAAACTCGGGAAAATGCGCTTCAAAGGTTTCTCCTTCTTTCTTATTCGACTACTTATATATATATATATATTTACTGAATATTGAGAGTCAAATGTAATGTAATATAATAATTATGAAGGATATTATTCCACAGGAGATTGTTGCTTTATTCTTTATGATGAATGTTTTGGTATATTACTAATTAAGTGTGAAGGGGTTAATGATGCATTAGGGCAATGTCAAATTCATGATGCCTGATATTAGTTGTACGGAATCAGCCGGGTGGGTTGGTCAGTTTTGTTTTAGACTGACTATCACCATATCCTATATGTTCTGTTCACAAAGTTAATTTAAATGCCCCAAACAAAGAGGCACATCTATATATATATAATCACACACGCAAACATATATATGTATGCTAGGAATGAGATTTCATAACTGAATTCTCCTAATTTAACTCCTTCAAACCCTTAAATATATATATAGATAAGGTTAAAGTTTTCTCTTTATAAAAGGATAAACTCACCCAAAACTCACTANATTAAGTATGGAGACTATAAATTGTATTATTATAATAAAAATAAAATATCCTAAAGTGGTGGTGGTGGTAGTATTTTATCAAATATATTTACTAAGTTATTAGTTATTTTATGTCAAAATTAGGTAATGATATATTACTTAATTAATATTATAAAGTTGATATTTCTCTTGTCCTTTCAATTAAAATTCTAGTTGGAATTAATGGGGTGAGTGGAACAAAAAGGGCCTTAAATTGCAAAGTCTCACTTTAAAAGCGACTTCACCTATCAAACACACGTATATACGTTGCCTCTCTCTCTCTCCCCCATCAACTTTATTAATCTTATATTATATTATATGTTTATGTATTGATTGATTAATTAGTTAATTAATGTATAATATTAAATATAAATGATGCTCTATAACTTTCACAGCTAGCATGCATGCAAACTATGTACATGCGTGGCCGAGATGCATGATGGAATAGTCTACCGTTAGATTTTTATAAAATCTTTGTTCCTGGGGTCTTGTTAGAGAGCTTTCAGTAAGTGCGTATCTATCATCCTCCACTATCAATCCAGATTTTAGGAGGAATCTTTATACTGCTCCAGATTTCTAGTTATGTGGTAAGAAATTCTTTTATAATATTCCTCATATGGTACGTTTCTTTCATCATTAAACACAAATATATATATATCTCCATGTATATAGATCAAAACAATAATCAACTAGCTACGTTTCTTGAAAACTACGTACCCACACTATCTTATTGTACATTAGATATTCTAGATGAATAATAACATTACCATATGTTATACTCTGGATTTAGAAAAAAAATATATATATATATATATATATATTTTTCAGGAGGGATAAAATGATAAAACTATCCTTCCAATATTCACTTTTTACAATTACAAAATAAAAAATATATATATATATATACTCACATTTAGATAAAATAATCTACAAAAATACAATTACAATTTAAGAATATGCAAAATATAATTCTTCTCATTTTTATTATGAAAAAAAAATTAAAATGCTAGATTTGCCGAAAAAAGTTGCTAAAGATCTTCTCTATTGGTGACCAACGTCCTTCGCCAAGGCTTCCACATGTTATTTTTTGCTCAACTGTAAGTTAGATAGCCAGGCATAAATTGTTTCTCTCGTCATCCTCATTATCATCAGGAAGATGTTCATAGTTATTCATGTTATTGGTAGTATTTACCTCCATATGGTTTTCTACTTGTAAATATTATTAGATTATTTTTGCCAATTTAGACATAGCCAACAAGTCTTTCCATCGCCACTTATTTACTATGTCTTTATAGGCTATAACAATTTATGGAGATGATAATAAATGTTGATCATTCTCTTTTAGTCCTCTCAAATCGTGATACATATTTATCATTTTTTCTTAATTGAAGATAACTTTGCATGGTCTCAAAATAAAGAATTTGAGTAGTTGGTATGACAATTATTAAAAAGGGATCTTACATGTAGCAGGTGACACGAGAACACTCGACAATTAAACCTAATAGGTTTTTTTTAATGATAACAATTAACTATAAAACTAAATCTTAAAGACTAGTTATTGACACTTAACAGTGTCCACTATTAACTTATTAATGTCGACATTATGATCATATCATAACTATCTCATTACTAAACATTATGACAATTACCATAAAAGACTAATAGTTTAACTTTGCAATCTTAAATCTAGATGTTAGAAAGCCAAGCCATGTGGATTTAGTCAAGAGGACACTTGGCAATTAAATTAGAAAAAAATATTTTTTTCACTTCATTTTAACGTAAGATTTGACAATCAAATTAGATAAGCAGGTCATAAAGTCATAATTTGTATAAGTAAAGCATGAGATAAGTATTTTAATACTTTATTTACTATAACTTTATAAGTAAATGTAAATTATTAGTTATAAGACAATAATTAAGAATATCTAATATACTTTAAGTGATAAGAGGATAATTGGTAACTTAACTAGTTTCAACATCTTCTGACGATAGTTACCACAAAATATGGTCTTACTAGTTATAAAAGTTTGATTATTGAGAACATGAAATTATTTGTCCCCAAACTTGATGAGAAATTAATTTTTTTATCAGCTTAATATAATTTAAACTACTTTAAATATTTATCATCACAAACTTACTGAAAATACAATCCCATCCTCATCTTCATCGACCAATATTTGTGAACTAAAATATTCAAATAATGTCAAAATAACTGTTTTCTCTTTTTATGTACACAGCATTTATAGTTTCATATATGTTGTGCATATTTTTTTTTTTGTTTAACTACTTACGTAACTTATTTTATAAATTTAATTATTATTTATCACTAAGAGGAATAATTATGCTTTTTATATAAAAATAATATTTTTTAATAATTAGATCTTTTTAATTGGAATAATTGTAATGAAACAGAAATTAAATGAATACATCATGTATGTTCAAAATAGTTAAAAAAAAATAATATATTCTTTTATCACATCCAATTATTTTAGTTCATGAATTTTTTATCATAAAAATAACAGTATATGTTGCATGTATATAGAATTTATGTCCATCAAAGTTAGTAAGATTAGTAAAAAGATTACAACAGACTTATAGTAAATGAGTGAAAAAATGAATTAAGAAACTAATAAGCCATGGTACTTTGTAAGAGATATATCTGAAAATTTTACAAGTTGTTAATATATAATTTAATATTTTATTTGATTAAATAAAAAATATCTTCACTTAATTTTATGAAATAGTAAATCTACAAATCATAGATTATGTTATTGAGATGCGTTTAATGGTTGTACGTCTCGTCTAATTAATGAAATGAACGCATTAATGTCAAAGAAAAATATTTGAAGGAGCAAATATTAACAAAGAAATATAAACTTACGTTTAAAAAATAAATTGAAACACCCTACTACTTGTGAAATCAATTAAACCAATTTAACTTAAATTTCATCCGAGAAATTAAGAAAATTTTTGTTTAGTTTTTAAGATTGGATTTATTAATGATGATGCTTTGGGTTGGTTTTTCACTTGTCCATCTATAAATTACAAAAGCAGATAAAACACAATTTTACGCATATAATTCCGATTATGCCTTAATTAAAGTTTATCTTTGATGGGCAAATTAGAGATTCAATTTATTTTTATAACCTGCATTTTCTTGGTGCATATAAAAATTGATTCATTTTTTGCAATTTGATTGAAAAAAAAAAAAAAAAACTAAACAAGATCTAATATATTTATAGTTTTTATTTTAAAAATTTAACGGAGTTAGTGCCTTAATAATAATAAAAAATTTATAATTATTTTATAATGAATAAAATATTTAAAACTAAAATGAAAAATAAATAGAAATGAGTCCTTCAAAATAAAATCTTATTTTCATACGACAACCCGCAAAACGTCGTCGTCAGAACGCTTTATTTTCTTTTATTATTTTTAATTATTATTATTTTTAATAACAGAGATGCTTTTTCTTTGTTAATTCCCTAAGAAAATACTGAATTGGAGTCGGGCGTAATTACCATCGCCGGCTCTCGCTGGCTGAAGTCCTTTCCATCTCCAGTTGCCACCTAATCATCTTTATTAGCCTTTACCCTTACCCATACCCACACACAAAAGGAAGAAAAAGAAATCTCTGGGTGGTCTTTCTCTGGGTTTTGTAAATCTACCCAGTAACGCGAAATACCATAACAAATCATTATCGTTATCGCGACAGCAACCACCGCAGCACAAAACCAAGGCCAATTCCTGCCAATCAAATCGACCAGGGAAGCTTCAATACTTTTGAGGAAGACGAAAAAGAATCGGAGATAAGTGGAGAAGAAATTTCGACGTATAAATGGCGAATCTGTACGTGAAGGCGGTGCCACCGGCGGATCTGAATCGAAACACAGAGTGGTTCATGTACCCGGGGGTGTGGACCACCTACATACTCATTCTCTTCTTCTCCTGGCTGCTCGTCCTCTCTATCGTCGGTTGCTCTCCTGGCATGGCCTGGACCATCGTCAATCTCGCGCATTTTCTCGTACGTTCTCTGTTTTTCTCTCTGCGAGTTTTGAATGCAAACCGTCTTCGTGCGGTTTTTAATTCCTTTTGGTGGTGCATGTTTTTGAATGTTCTACTGGGTTTTGTTGTAATTGAGGAGCGTTAGCAAGTAGGGTTTCAAATCGTTCTTTGTTCTACTGGGTTATGTTCAATATAACCGTGCTTGATTCTTTATCACGATGAAGACCCGGTTTTCTTTCTTCGTTTACTTTTTACCTTTATTCGAAGGTGCTGGGTTCACGGCGTTCTGTTCTATTGATTTTTTCTTCGGGATTTAGTTGGTTTTGATTGGAAAAATTCTCATGTCTCGTGTCTATGGGTGATGGGGTTTGATAAAAAATCTAGAATTTGGACAATATTCTCTTCTATCAGAACCGTCTCGGTAGCCAAACAGAACTTTGGGGTGCCCACTCATCTCCAACTGGTTGATTGGTGAGATGGGCATCTTAATTTCCCAATTTTTCTTGCCCATCTAGATCTCCAAAATTGGTGTGATACTGACTTAGGTCCATGATTGAATTGCATGCAGCACTTCTTATATTCAATTAGTGAGTTGATCTGTTGCTTCAACGGAGCGGATTTCTTAGAACCATAATTCACATTTTTATGACATTTTGTGGATTGACTACCTATGATGCCAAGTATAAAACCTTGAAGGTCTTGAACTACATGGTCCGATTTTGTTATCTTGCTTTATCGACTAGATGAAGGCATCCACTTGGGTGTCCTAACTTCTGTATATAAACCTATCAAAAACAGATTTTAGCTTTTACTTTGGTTAAAAACACTTTTAATTTTGCCTGTTTGGCTACAAATTGCTTTCTAAATGCAGAAGCTGAAGCTAAACACACTCTAATAGAGAAATACTAGAATAAGCTTTGAACCTGTTTCAGTGACTTTCTTTCCTACCTATCTTTTTTTTTTTTTTTTTTCTGAAATAAAAAGTAGAAAAGGTATATTAAGTTAAGGACACCAAGGGGGTGCCAACCCATGTATAAAAATATTTACAAATTAGTAAGTGTATCTTTAAAGTTTCCAAAATGCTATAAGCTATGTATAGGGTACTCTAAAACCAAAGATCCGAAATAGTGTTTTGCCCCTGATTTTATGACACTCCTCATCCACCCTCTTGATAGCTCTCATATTCTCTCTTTCCAGACCATCCAAAATATTCTGAGCAGAATAAGATTCACAATTTTTCTCCCCTAACTAATATCCTCCCAAGCCCAAGGCGCATCTCTAACCAGCCCCACAATAACCCAACTAATCCCCAATAATCCATAAATCATAGTCCATAACTTATACACCTCAGGGCACCATAAAAGAATATGGTTGCAAGTCTCTGCTTCTCTCTTACACAGAAAGCAACTATTAACCATAATTCTACCCATTCTCAATGGTCAAAATGCACTCTCTTTCTGTCTCCCACGCAAAAAACGCAATTTTTGGAAGAGTTTTAACTTTCCAAATCTGCTTGAATGGAGACCTGGTACCACTCGCACCATCATTCCCCACCAAGTGGTTATAGTAGGACTTGACAGTGAATTCTCCTTTCTTCTTTAATTTCCACACTAGCTGATCCCTGTTATTGTTCAGATTCACCATAGACAATAAGTAGAGCAGAGCCTTGTATTCTTCAATCCCCCAGTCATCATTGTGTCTATGCACTCTAACCTCTCACTTCCTGTTACCATCACCAATCTTGTACGCCTCGTTCACTGTAATATTCTTGAAACATGCAATGGCAAAAATCTGTGGGAATTGATAATTGCAACTTCCCACTCCAACCCACTCATCTCTTTAAAACAAAATACTATTCCTTCTCCCCACTTTCCAATTTACACACTCCTAAAATTTTTGTCTTCCCATCCTTGGTCTCCTCCACAATCCTTACCCATGAGGTCTAGTATTAACTCTTGTGAACTAACCTTTCTCCGTAGTCCCCCATTTAGCATCTATAACTCTCTTCCACAACCTGCCATTCTCCTTCATATATCTGCACAGCCATTTTCCTTGTAAAGATTGATTCATCTCCACACAAATGATATCAGCCCTAAACCTCCTAGAGCCATGGGCTTCTTGACCTCACCCCATTCCACGAAATGATACTTCCCTCATATCCTCAGCATCTCCCCAAAGAAAGCTCCACTGAGTAGTCTCCAATTTCTTTGCAACTTTAACTGGAATTGTCAGCGTGCTCTTTATAAGTATCAACCTTCCCCCTATCTTTAATTCGTAGTCTAGGGCTTAATGGAGATAACCCACTGAACTTCACCTAAGATGCTCTACAACCTGTTTAACAGAAATTCTGGTCATTTTGTTTGTGCAGTCTGCTTACGAACTCATAAGGAAACTCTAGTCTATGCTTTCCTATAATTCATAGCAGATTTGTTCAATCTATGCTTTCGAGAACTAAACAATCCAAGCAAACCTCACACCATGAACCAATTTGAAAAATTCGGTACATAGATCTTGGGGAGGTTGAGCAATACTGGCTCAACTGGTAACTATGGGCCCATGGTTTTACTGGATCCATGTGAATCATCCCTGGTTGAGTGAGGTGGGTCTGCCGGCTCTGACTTGAGTTTGGGGCATGTGACATTTATGAAAAGATTTTTTATATCTATATTAATATATTCTTGTATGTTTTTATATCTATATATTCATATTATATGTACTTCAAGTTCATTCGATAAATATAATAGAAACTGAGATAAAAGAATCATATTTTAATGAACTTAGCTGTAGATTTCTTGAGCTCAAGATCAAGTTCAAGGCTGGCGCTTCTTCTTATGTTTTTTTTTTTTTGAGGAACAACTCAAACCTTGACTTCATTTTATATGAATCAAATCTGAATAGGATTCACCTCTGGGAACTCTTAAATTTCAATAATTTTTGGCTGAATAAGCTCAACTATTTTTAGCTTGCTATAATTTCGTTCCTCCCTAGTCTGGTTGTAATTTGCTACTATTTGTGTCTAGTTATGGTAATAAGATTTGCTGGATTATGAACTATTTGTTCATTATTCTCTATTTTCTCTTTAATCCTAAAACTAGCTTTAACTTGTTCCTCAAAAAAAAAAAGAGAAAAATAAATTGTTGCTTGTTTCTAATTTCTGTGATTGTGGAACATACTGACAAGATTGCTTCTGACCTCAGGTAACTTATCATTTCTTTCACTGGAAGAAAGGAACCCCGTTTGCTGATGACCAGGGAATCTATAATGGCTTGACTTGGTGGGAACAGATAGATAACGGACAGCAACTTACACGGAATAGAAAATTTCTAACTGTTGTACCTGTGGTGCTGTAAGTCTCTAATTTGATACTTCAGGAAGCATTTATAACTGCTGTGCTGTCAATTTTTATTTGCATATGAGTTTGGGTCTGCAATTTTGTGCATTCATAATCCAATTGCTTCAGGAATTCGTTCGATTTGCTCTGTTTTAACAGTTTTCATTTTATCATCATGCCTGTTACACAAATTGCATACAAATGTTGTCAATTTTAAAAATTACTTTTTGGCTTTCAAAGTAATAATTAGAAACTTAGTAGCTATATTTGATCTCCTACCAATATTAATTTTAATTATGTGTTTTAAATATTGTATATGCTTGCATTTTGATTGTTTGTAAATACAAGTTGAAAAGCAGTCACCAATTTTCGGGTGAGCGGCAGCTGTTTGCAATCTGCTGAAAAAAATGTGCTTAGAGAACTAGGGTGCATTAAGCTACTTAAAGTAGGCAAATTCGTATATAAAAATTAAGCAGTTACTTGACGGACAAAGTAGTGATTGCAAAAAGTAAACACTTGTCTTTTATAAAAAGGTAATAATTTTTTTTTTTTATTTTTTTATTTCTTTTTAAACCAATAAGATAGTCTAGCCTTTACTCTCTCTCTCTCTCTCTGTCTCTCATTCCCTCTGGACTGCAACAGATTTCCATCTTCCTCTACTACATCTAATCCAAATCTCTACCAACTCAAACCCTAACTAGCAGGGAGGAGAGCTTCTCTCCCAGCTGGGTCCAGTGGGGCCGACCTCCAACCCACTTAGAAATCACAATGATTCCCTCCAGAAAAGTTTTTCTTGTAGATCGAAAATCATTCCACATTACATATGATGGAAAGAACCTAGAGGGTCTCCGCATCAGTGAACACAATAGGGGCTTCAGAAGGTTCATAGCTCTAAACAAGCAAGAAGTTAAATGGCTAGTAGATGTGTTGACCAATTTTTACTGGCTAAAAGGAGGAGCAACCTGGGGGAGAAATTTCAAGGGCTCCTCACACAGAATCTGGCTTGCCCTAAGCTGGAACTGGTATGGTCGTTTTTTGGTTATGACTGAGGAAAATGGTAAGTTGACTAAACGGTTATTTATCCCAGAAGGCACAGAAGTGGGTGGATGGTGGTGCTTCATGAAGTCTGTCTTCGAAATGGCTGAGGTCCCTCTGGCGAACCCATTTGAAAACAAGGTGGCCATTATCCCTAACCCATTGTCTGACCCAGCTCCTGGCGGATTTCAAGTTTGCTCCTTGCTTCTGAAATGCCCACACTGCAATCACGGTTTTAGGGTCTTGGCTGAAAGCGATGAAAAGAAATCTTTTGCTGATGCTCTTAGCATGAACCTGGTTTCCACCAACTGGTCAAAGTCGGGCGCTGCTGACCTGCCAACAATCTGGGTAAAAAAGATAACTCCTGACCCGATTCCCGCTCGAAATAATTTTGAAATTCAAAAGCTGAAGTCTGGTGATGCCTCTAAAAAAGCCGAGCCCAAATTGAAGCCCAAATACAGTTGGTTTGAAAAAGAAAAGTGGGTTAACCAGGCTGGTCCAGGTGGTGCAAGGAAAAAAGTTGTAAGTCCAAAAAAAAGGAGCCCAATGGTGTTATGGAAGGGGAGATCCAAAAAGATAAACCTGACCCGAGCGCCTGATCCAAATATAAAAATCTCCTCCTCCACACAGATGAGCCCTCTTAGTGCAGTTTCCATTGTGCCCGCAGAGGTTGAATGCGCTTCGAGAGTCGATGAGCCTTTAATCGAGCAGAAGAACAAAGATATGGCAGTGGGTTTGCTTCAACATGTTAGTCGAGATTTAACCCCAGGTAAGCGACTTGATCCTTTTCTAAACAACTAATTTTTACCAGGGTCTCAACAGTTGGAAACAGATTTGGGGTTACAACTGGCTGTGCTGCAAAACGATGAGACGAAAGACCCACCAATGGAAGCAGTAAGTGTCCTCACCGAATCCCCACTCATACCAGAATGGTCTCCGATTATTGTAGAATCCTACTCTCATTGGGTTATGCAAAATATTCTTGGCATCAGCAAATCACTGGGTGTTCCATTTGAGTGTTGCGAAGATCAAGGTTTGTCAATTTTCTCCGAGCTTGATAACAGAATGAGTGGAAGGATTTCCAGCTCTGACGGGAACACTTCAAAATCTAAAAAGCTAACAGCAGGGGGGGCCAGAGAACTGAAAAAATTGCAATGCACAATGAACTATGACAACAAAAGCAAAAAGAATTAGGGTTTTGGGGACGTCTCTGAAAATTGTGAATGATAGGAAAAATTATTTCATGGAACGTCAAGGGAATTAATGATGCGGAGAAGAGGAAGATTCTCAAAGGTTGCCTTGGAAGATGGAATCCCATCATTGTTTGTTTACAGGAAACTAAAATGGAGATTATCAGTGATTTCACTGTCAAAAGCTTATGGAAGGCCGACGGGGTGGAATGGAAGTTCTTACCGTCTAAGGGTTCTGCTGGGGGCATTCTCCTTATGTGGAAGAGGGATTGGGTGACTTGTATGGATGTTAAAATAGGTGAGATCACAATTTCTTGCCTTTTCTCTAACAATAACAACACCACTACGTGGTTTTTTTCTGGTGTTTATTGCAGAGGCAATGATTCGGAAAGAACATTGCTCTGGCAAGAATTGAACAAGTGTTTCAACTGTTGGGGTTGGAATGGAATCATTGGAGGGGATTTTAATACTGTTCTCAGAAGATCTGAAAGATCCCGGGACTCAGTTTAATGCAACACTGGCTAATGAGTTTCTTGTTAACATGGAAAATCTTG